CGCATCAAGTGGGCATGACCACAGCAGCAGCAGCAACGGCAGACGCGCATTCAAAGCAGCCACAGAAACCAGAAAAAAGGACACAGAGAAAAAAAATGGGAATGAGAGTGGATGGGTTCTCAATTCGGGGTTGAAGCTCCGGATTGCCAAACGGATTTGCTCTGCCCGTGGAAGAAGCCGCAAAAAAAAAAAAAAAAAAAAAAATTTTTCAAATCAAAATAGAAGTGAGTAAATGAGATTTGCAGCAGCTTCCATTTTAGTTGGGCGCGCTGCTCGAACTTATGCAACACAAATTGAAAATAGCTGCGTGGCAACCGCCAAACGTGCAACAGTGGGCGGATTGGGGGTGGCCGACGCTGCTGCTGTGCGTCGCTCTGCGGTTATGCGCTTGGTTTGACAGCCACGAGACCAAAGCCAAATAAACAAGCAACAACAACAACAAATTGGACAACAACAAGCGAGTCCTCAACATAGACTGCACAGCGGCAAATCGCCAGGCAACCCGAGTATAACCGCAATGATGTGCCCCAGCAGCACCAACAACAACAACAACAACAACAATAGAAAAGAAGCACACGCACAAAATACACCAAACAGACATCTAACATTACATAACGGCAACAGCAACAACAACAACACTAAACAACACCACACGCACCACTGACAGCAGCAACCCCCAATTTAGCCCAAGGCCTGTAAATGACATTGATATTTTTCTAGTTTGCCTGGCCGCAACCAAAAAAAAAAAAAAAAAAAAAAAAAAAAAAAAAGAAGAAGCAGAAGAGCAAAAAAAAAACAAATAAAAACTTGAGACGGCTATAGACGACGGCCTAATGCTCGCTCACAGTGCCGAAACAGCTTTAAAGCTGTTGGCTATAAGATGCTTAAGCTCAGCTTTGAAGCTGCTGATGAAGTTCAGCTTTAAAGCTGCCAGCTTTTATCCGCTAAAGAAGTTCAGCTATGTTGCTGTTAACTATTACCCGCTGAAGAAATTTAGCTTTACAAATTTTAGCTTTTAGCTTCTGGAGAAGTTCAGCTTTGAAGCTGGTACCCACTGAGAAGTTCAGCTTTAAAGCTGTTAGATATTAACGGCTGAAGAAGTTCTGCTTTAAAACTGCTACCTAAAGCACTTAGCTATAGCTTGCTGAATAAGTTTCGCTTTAAAGGTATTACCTTCTTGAAGAAGTTCAGCCTTCAAGCTGTTAGCTTTTATTTGTTAAAGAAGTTCAACTACTTTATGAACTGAACTAAAGCAAGATTAATATATATATAATGCTTACTGACCACGGCTCCTCTTAAGCGTAGCCCTAAGTGTCTTAAGATTGCTTTACAATACACTTCAAAGCGTTTAACATTTATACTGAGAGACGACTGTAGACGACTGCCTAATGCCCGTTCACAATGCCAGAGCGGCTATGAATTGCTTTGAGCTCTTTTCAAGTTTGCTAAAGCGCTCAAGACTCTTCAGGAACTGCATTCCAAAGAGCCTAGGAGGTTCTAAGATTCGCATAAAAAAAAAAAAAAAAACCTCTTAGTTTAATAATATTTATAAAACTGCATTATTTCACTCAACTGACATAAACTAATATGCTCTCGTTACTCTTCTACAGTGTATTTAAACTCACAATATGAAAGCTTAAATTTAGCAAACACTCACACATACACATGCAGACACTCTCACACACACGGACAAACCACAATTCTCTATGCTCTAACTGGAATAGCGAACAGAGAAAGCCAAACGCAAATTTCCTATTTTCTATTTGTTTATTTTATTTTATTTTTGTATTTTCATTTTTATTCATATCTTTTTGCATTTCTAGCGAAATATATTGCTTTGATTTTAATTGAGTTTCAAATGAAATAAATATTGCATTCGTCTCTCAAAAGTAATTATTGTGCAATTTGCACAAATTTGCTTTATTCGTGTTGCAATTTTGTGAAGCTTTATGGATTTTGGTGGAGATTGAATGAAATAATAAACTATGGAAATGAAATAATATTTGAAATTTACTTTGCAATGAAACTTTAAGCCAATCACAGAGTCAAATAGATAAATAGATTATAATTTGATATAAATTGTTCGTTGAAATAACTACAAAATATTTCGGTATAAATAGTATGAAAGTTTATATGGTTTAGGAGTAGGAGTCTTAGAAAAGGCAATGCGTTTTCCTTCAATGAGGTTTGATTTTCAATATATAGTAGGTTATATATACGACAATAGCTACTGTATTAGCAGCCAAGCTGAAATTCTGTATAGACAACAGTAGAGATTGAATATATTGAATATATTATAAAATGCCATTAGCCATGATTCAAGTCGAGATAAGGCAGCACAATTATTCAAATATATATTTACTCTTTATTTCTATATACATTAGTCAGTGACTACTGTATTTACAGCTAGTTAAAAGTTCTCTGTAGCGAGCAGCAAACATTGAATATATAATTTGAAATGCCTTGAGCTCAAATCCGAACAAAACAATCGGAATAAAATGTTAAATCATAGCAATAATTCATTATTAACAGGAATTTTAGATTAGCCAATGTTTACTGTACTTGCAAATAAGTTAAAGTTTTATTTAAAATGCTGAAACGAATCAACATTTAGAAGTAAACAAAAACCATAAGTAGAATAAATAGTGAAAATATTTATACAACTATCAAAATGATAATACTCATATTTGCCAATGCTCACTGTACTTGAATATAAGTGAAAATTTTTCTATTGAAAGAAATTTGTTTCGAAGCCTCACTCATATCTAAATTGATATATTTCCCCAACAATTGATGATATATATAGTTTCCCCACTTATAACACTGTCGCATTGTCGCCAATGCCCACTGTACCTGCAATTAATTACTGCACTACTCTATGTCACAAACAGCTTCCCAGAATACAGCAACCGTAGTTTGGGTAGCGCAGCTAACGATTGTTGGCAACGTTTATCAACGTATTGTTTATGAGCAGCTGGCAGGATGGGGATGGCAGGAAGACCTCCTGCCATACATACATAGCTGGGGGATATTTGGCCGGCTCGCCCCCGCAATTGTGAATGCTTTTATTCGTTCATTTCGTTTTGAATTTCATCTCGAGTAATTTTGTATTTGAGCTGCTGTTCTAATTATGTTCAACTTTGCATAATTACAAAACTCATTAGGCTCCGCCAAGTTTCCAAAGGGGGTGGGGGGCATGGGCGTGGCGCACAAAAGTAGACAGCGAAAAGTGTAAATTGTGTTTGACTGCGTCCGCCTCCCAGCTAATTGAAATTGAAACTGCACACAAAAAAATAAATAAAATAAAAGAAAAGAAAACAGCAAAAACAAAATTAAAGCAAGAAACTGTGTTAAGCCAAAGGAAAACGTATTTATAGAAAAGCAAAATAAAACGGCAAAAACAAAAGCAGCTGCTGCGACCTATCATCAATCGATAAGCAAACAGCTGACAGACCTGTGCCGAAACTGAAGCTGAAAAATCAATTTGCATTTCAATTAAGCAACAGCCACGGCACCCGCAGCACTCTATATAACGGCGGCACTTGGCCGCCGGGCCCCGTCCACTGGCCAGTTGTGGGCGGGCAGCCGAGCAATGCGCTTCTTCGCCGACTGCTTCCTGTTTGGCAACTGCTACAAGCAGCATCAGGACGACGACGAGCAGACCTTTGCCGATCAGCTCGAGCAGCAGTCGCCGAGCCACAGCAAGGTGGAGCAGCCGCAGCCACAGCCGCAGCCGCAGCTGATGACGGCAACGGAGCCGGAGCTGAAGCTGGAGTTGAAGCGAACGCTGTCGTCCACGCCGGAGGCACTGCTAAAGCCACAGCAGCTCACTCTACAGATGGAGCTGGAGCCGGGGCTGCTGGCGAACACCCTGGAGCTGGAGCAGCTAGAGAAGCAGCAGCAGCAGCAGCAGCTAGCGACCCCATCGGCGGTTGTCATGCGCGGCTCCCATTCCCCAGCCCGCCTCGAGGAGATCAGCATCTGTGCGGATGTGCATTCCAGTCACCTGTTACCAGAGCTGGCAACGCCACAGTCTGCCCAGAGGGGCAACGCTGCCGGCGTGGAGCGCTACTCGGGCGTGGCCATCAAGGATGAAATTGAAATCTTCACCGATGTGGATCTGGGCAATGGCGCACATTATTTTGCCTTTTAGCCAGCTGCAAGCTGAAAACTGAAAGCTGACTCTAGTCAGGTGTTTGGCCATATCAATCAAGAGCAAGGTGGGAGCGTTAATCAATATGCCTGGTTCAGAGTTCACTTTGAACTGAACTTGAGTTACACAAAGCTACAAATAATCTGTTCCCATTTCCACCATTCCCAATCCCAATTCCCTCCCATTTTCCATGGCAACCTTTTGGCCATTTAGCAGCAGTTTGTGCGTGAAATTTTAGACATCCGTCGGCTGTCAGCGCATTTGCATTTGCATTTGCAAATTGGTAATACAATATGTCAATTCCCCCAACTCCACAGTGCCGCATTATTTATACATCATGATGAATGATAATCAGCTGCAGCCGCAGCAGTAACAGCAACAGCAGCAGCAGCAGCCGTTGCCACTGATTGAATGGCCGCAGTATTAAGCATAATTATAATTATTAAAATTTATACCTGTATGGCATCATACACACACATACATACATATACAAATTTCAAGTGATTTCTGTAATAATCCACTCAATTATTTCATAAATTATTTCGCATTTTGCATAAACGAATTTGTCGCAGCTGCTGATTATGTTTATGAATAACCGAAACAGTATTCAGTTACAATTCGCCATTCTCTCAGCACTCTGTCTAGCCAAACAGTTGCCGAGTGCGTGGTTCTGGCTAAAGAGAGAGAGAGAGAAAGAGAGAGAGAGAGAGAGAGAGAAACAAAACAAGAAATAACGAAAACTTCCATTGTAAACTTTTACTTTCGGGCTATGAACGAGAGTAAAGCGAGCTCACTCGCACTCGCCTCGTCTCTCTATATAAGGCGTTGGCATTGCAACTGCCGCAGCTCAAAGTCATTGCAACCTTCCACACAAAGGGAAGCTCTATTGATAAGAAGCTATCTATTGGGTAGCTACATCGATCTAAAGTTACTACCGAGAAGAAGAAGCTACTATTGAGAAGTTACATATTCAGAAGCTACTGAGCAGAGTCTACTATTGGGAAGCTATCTACAGCGATCTTATATTGATTTTTGACTGTTCTGTTATTCATGGCCTAATTGCAGCTCTTGAGGACTTGTTGTTTATGTAAGTCACAAATTTTTATTTATTATTTTTTATTCTCTTACGTTCAGACATCTACTCAAACATCTACCCAAATCGAATAGAGTTTCTTAGAACATTCCTAAGAATTTCTTTAGTGTTGCTTTCCTGGCTTCTCACTTCAAACTCTTCTTCAATTTATTGATTCTCGCTATATATCTCTATTTCTCTTTATTTTGGAACTTATTTTATTTTATTTTAATTTTTATTTACTCACAGCTCATTGATATGAGTTTTACGTATGTCTCTCCTATATTTTTCATTTTAGTACTGCTCAAGCATAATAGTATTACCTCTCTCTTCCCATCTCTCTCGCTCTCTCTGTCTCTTTTATTTTTCGTTTACAACATCTGAATGCTATACATCCTTCTCTCTCTTTCTCTCTCTCTCTCTCTCTCTCTCTCTCTCTCTCTCTCCTTGCATTCATAAAAGTATTATCTCTCACTCACTAACACTTTTTTTCTTTCTCTCTCTCCCTCCCTCTGTCTTCTCTCTTTCTATCTCTCTCAGTCCTTCTCTCACTATATTATCTTTCGTTTTACTACAGCACAATGCCTTACATTCATTATAGTTTTGTCTCTCACTCACTCTCGTTTTCTCATTCTCTCTCTCTCTTCCTCTCCCTCCCAGTAGATGTGTAGCTGCTGTTGCTATTGCTGCTGCTCGGCCAGCTCTGTGGCAAAGAGCAGTCGCCATCAGTGCCAGGAGCTGCCGCTGAAGGAGCTAACCATCACCGTCCAGCCGCACAACAGCAGCTCAAACAATCTGAGCTCCAATTTGAGTCTGGTCGAGCGGCCCAACATTATCGGCAGCTGGAGCTGCGACGAGGAGTTCGAGTACTACAATGTGGATGATTTTGAAAGTCGCACGCCGACCATGTGGCGTGCCTGGTGGCTCCAAGGCGCCAGCGAGTCGTCGCCAACTTCTATACGCACTTGAGCTCACACTCGGCCAGCAGTTTCTGTGTCTGCGCGTGTCTGTGTGTGTGAGCGTGGGCGTGGGCGTGTATGTGTAATGCAACGGGATCAAAATCTTAGCGAAATAAAACTAATCGAGCCCCCACACACCTGCATCGACTGCTGCCGCTCAATTAATTATGTACACTACTCTAAGATATACATATATATAAAATAGCATACATATACATATATGTATATGATAGATATACATATATAAACAAATTAGTAATATTTAATAAATGTTCATTTTAATGCATTTAAATGCCTTTTTTTTAGAGTTAGAGATTTATTTTGGGCATAGCTTACTTAAAACTTCGATTATTGCTAAATACACGAATATTTGTATATATATACAGGGTAACACAATACACATACATATATGCGTTTTTTAAATGGAAAAAAAATAGAAGCCACAACAAACAAATATTTCGCTAGCTTTGCCAGACTTTGGCAGTGCCCCAATGAGGGGAGTCGTATGTAAGCCACAACAACACAAACACACACACACACACATCCACACAGATGCACACACACAGAGACATGAGCATGCATTTTTAAAATGAAATTACGCCACGTTTAGTTAACTGTCTGGCGCTGAAGGGTGTTGGCCAAGACAATATAATAAAAATTTGATTAGCTGCTTGTTTAACTTTAATTAAGTTGATTTTATTGCGCACAAAAGACTTGAACAGAGTGCGGTGCAAAAAACGCTGAAATGAAAGTGGATATTAAGGCAGATGCCTGGCTAAAGCTGGAGCCAAATCTGAAGCTGAAGCTAAAACTAAAGCTAATCAAATATTTAAACAATGCGCCTGCTGCTTTGCTTTGATTTGCCTTGGCTTGGCTTGGTTTGGCTTGGCTTGGTTAGTTTTGGTTTGGTTTGGCTTTCGGGACGCTGGCTCAGCATATTAACATTTTGTTGGGCAAACAACAGGCAAACTGTTTGCCCGGGGCCCAAAATACACACCAAACAAGCAGCATAATATTCATGATTATCATTAACACACACACACACACACAGACACACACTTACATACATAATGTACAAAGTGTGTGTTGCATTGTGATTTGATGAGCTTTGCATGGGGCGCTCGGCAAGGCAAGCATATCCTGCAGGACGTTTGCTGCTGACATTGCCGCTAACATTTGACGCCTGTGCATCTCACATATGCAAGCTGAAAGGCATTAACCGAGCAGGGGCTGAGGGCGGGAGAGAGACAGTGAAAGGGCTGTCAGAGGTGGAGCAAGAGCAACAGCAGCAGCAGAAGGCATAGGTGGTAGAAGGAGCGGAGAGCAGAGAATGAGAGAGGGAGAGAGCAGTTTACAAAATAAGCTAAAATTCATTCAACTCTTTAGCTGCCTATTAGCTAAAATTCTAATTTATAGCCTTTAGCTTAAAGTCCCTAAAATATCAGACGACTTTTATATGCTTATGTGCATAGATATCTAAATATGTTTCTGTATATACTATTCACATACATCGCTCATCAGACACACACAATTTACAAGCCCTTTTTCTCTATCATTCCTCTTTCTTATGCTGAATAGTCTCGGAATTTACGACGCTCAAGCAGCACTTGCTCTCCAGTTACACGCCTTTATTTATATCAAATGGGATATTTGTTTGTAAGAAGAACCTTTATATATACACATTTTAAAGAAAAGGCGTCGATCACTTGAGCTTTGATCGCTGTGGCTCACTCGCTGAGTGCTGCATATATAGCTCCAGCTCACTCACGCACACTTCAAAGCGCTCTGAGTATCACCCCACTCAGAGACGGCGGAATGGAACGAGTAGTGCAGTATGGATCGCTGTAGCATTCATTCACGTATGATCATATACAGACTGTAGAATATACTCTACTTTTTAGTTTGGGCGGCTTTGTGAAACTGTATGCAACATGGAGAAGAAGGCGTGGCAGACCACTTAAAGGTAATCTATTCTTGCTGAGAACGAAGAGTTAATTCATCAGTACGTCTGTCTATCTGTCTCTCTGTCTGTCCATCTGTCCGCTTGTCTGTCCGTCCGTCTGTCTGCCCATCCTTATTTATATCCATAAGTCAAGATATGAAGTTTTAAATGGTGAACGATCCGATTAGATCCCAACTAAAGCACATTTACATGTATATTAAAATACATATATGTACATATAAATATATATATATGTATAATAATATTTTTGCTCATATAAACAATCGGCTTGTGCTTAAGAAGTTATATCAAATTCGCATGCATCAAAAATTACCGAAATATGCTGAGCAATAAACATTTGCCAACGCTGCGAGAAAATAATTCAATACACACAGAGAGACGGAGTGAGTGAGAGAGAGAGAGAGAGTGGCACGAGCACCCACTTCTACATATATTGCTCGCCATGGGAGTTGGCAACATCTTGAGTGTGCTGTGGCATGCCATAAAAGGACTTTGATGCCGCGATGCCTGCCACTTAGCCAAGCGCTGCGCATATTATCGATGGCCATAATACGAGGGCCCGAAACCAGAAGCTGTTGTTGTTGCTGATGTTATTGTTGGTGCTGCTGCTGTTGTAGTTGTTGCTGCTGCGTTAGCCATTAAAAACTTTCCGGCAATGCCATTAAAATAAAAATCGAGAGCGTGTTAAATGATTTACAAAAGCAAAAGCTGAAGCTGGAGCTGTGGCTGTAGCTGAAGCGAAAGCCCGACCAGGCCAAGATGTAGCCAAAAACAATTTCGTTGCTTGCGGGTTTATCGCATTGGCATAATGTGTTTCAGGTTATCCCATTTGCTAGACCTTCCTCCTACCTCCCTACCCTTTCGCCGTTCGCCGTATTTATTTTATGCGGCTTTTGCGACAAGTTAAAGCTTTTGCCACGCCTACCCCTACCCCAGCCACAGGCAGAGCTCTTTTGCTGTGCGTCTGCCAAAGACATTTTCGTATTTTATGGCTCTTATGACTTTTCAATAAGTTTTTCCACGTCGCCCTCAAGTCGAGCACTGGAGCTTTCAGCTCAGAGTCTTGCCAGGGCAATACAAAAATTTATACTTATGGCCAAAAGTCTGCAATCGGATATGGCTATCTATTTGTGACGTTATATGCAGCGCACTTGCTCGATAGGCCAAACCGTTTGCTTAGCTTGTGCTCTAGGTATTAAATGTTGAATGATTAATGCGAAATTTGAGTTCGAGTTTATTTATTTATTTATTTGCTTATTAAGGTGACAAGAGTTTGATTATGTTGCGAGCTAGCTATTACGTAGAAATATATATACATATGACATATAAGATCTGACTTTGAATGGCTCTCGTATTGCCAAAGATTTTCAGAGTTTGCCTGACTTGGCTTGAAGTTTGTTTGCCTTTGAACAAACTGCATTTCTATATCAGCACTATATCAGGTACTAACTTAATTTGCAGTTGGCAATCGATTGCTTTGACCTTCCATTAACTGATTGATTGCCGGCCATAAAGACGGCCAATATCCCTGGGCACTAAATTGATATGAGATAGTTGTTGTGTGGCTGCGTTTGCTATTCAATTACGCACTCACTTCAAGCGGGCATGTTGGGGTGAGAGCGAATGAGAGAGAGAGAGAGTGGGGGAGAGAAGTGGGAGTGTGGTGTTGTGGCTGTGCTGGGGCTGTTTGCTGGTCAACTTAATGCAACTAATCGCCTGCCATTAACCGCCAATGACACTTTTATGCCTCTTTAATAAACTTAAGAAACACAAGTGACACTGTCTCTGCCAGGGTGAGCAGGGGTGCTCACTGTGCGTGTGTGTGTGCGTTGGAGGATGCGTGTGACAGGCGCTTGTCCAAGCATCACAAAACTTTCGGCACGTTGCGGCAATGTCTTGAGCGAGTTTTCTCACCCGCCAGCGTCTCGTACTCGCTCATCGAAGCGTCTCTCAGGAGTTTGTACAACTTCTTCCATGTGGTTTCAGCTGCTCGCAAAGCACACACACACACATACACACTCCCTCGAACCACTTATATCAATAATAATTCCCATTTGTAATAAAGCCAACTTAAGGGCGGCATTTTGAGGCATTGCGGATTAGCCCATGGGGCAAGAGTTGCATGCATTAAGTGATATGCATAAATAAACAACAGTCCGAATAAAGGGTGACCATGTGTGGGTGTGTATGTGTGTGTATTTGTGTGTGTGGCAGTAAAGTTATATCAGCAGCGATGGCGCGTAGCTATTGTAACTGTGCTCGCCATATCAAAAGTAAATTGATACAAATTGTATAATAATCACGTCATTGCATTTTATTTTGCGCCATGGCAACGGCAGCGGCAATAATGGCAACAAAAAAAACAATGGCACGTGTGGCTTAATGGCAACAACGAGAACAGCAACAACAACAACTGCAACAACAAGAGCAAAAAGCATTGCGCGCTGCGGACAAGTTAGCAAAGTGCTGTGCATTAGCCTGGCGGCAATTTCATTTGTTATTAATAGCACATGGTCACACTGAGCAAATGGCAAACTTAAATGACATTCAGCCAGCCCAGAGAGAGAGAAGGCAAAAGAGACAGAGACAGAGAGATAAAGAGTGAATGAGTGGGTTGGGGACACAGTAAGAGGCGAAGACGAAGCGAAATGTTTTAAGACAAAAGTAGGAAAACTTTTAAAAAGTCAAATAGACAGTAATAGCAGACGGTCACACTGTGCGCGAAGAATACCAAGCTGAGATGGCAGTAAGCAATAAAAGAAAAGCCACAGAGATAGAGAGAGATGGAGAATGGAATAGAGCAATTCTAGGCTAAATAGAATGGGAAATCAAATTAAATATGAATAACAAATTAAATCCATTTGCAACTGGAACAAGAGCTAGATACCTGAAGAAAGATAGAGATAGAGAGAGATAGAGAAGGGACAGCTAATAGAACGGGACACAAATTTAGCAAGAGAGAGAGCGATATGAGGAAGATACGGAGTAAGAGAGAAAGACTGAGGAAGAGTGAGAGTGAGAGAGTTAGGGCAGTATCAAATTTAACGACAGAGAAAGAGAGAGAGAGTGTGTGATAAGGAGATAAGGAGAAGGAGAGAATGAACTTGAGAGAGTAAAAATTATAAATTGGGTCGAGAAATAAAGAGAGAGAGGAAAACTGACAGACAACATGGTTTTTTAACATACAA